CACACAGACCCCCAGGACACAGAGCCCCCCCAAGACACACAGACCCCCAGGACACAGAGCCCCCCCAAGACACACAGACCCCCAGGACACAGACCCCCAGGACACAGAGGCCTCCCAGGACACAGAAGCGCCCCCAAGGACATGTGCCCCCCCACAAGGCAGAGGCCCCCTCCAGGTCACAGAGTCCCCACCCCCGGACATAGAGGCCCCCCAGGACACACAGCCCATAGAGGACACAGCCCTTTAGGACCCCACCTAAAGGACAGGTGGCCCTCACACAGCACAGCCCCCGCAGGACTCCGGGCCCTCAGGTCACGTTGCTCACAGGACGAAGTTCTCCTCCACTCTTAGGGCCAGGCTGCTGAGGGCGTCCTGGTTATGGAGCTTTGTCCCCGGGCTAGGCTCATGCAGTGGATGGCCGTGGAGGCCTGAGTGCTGACCCTCGTTTCTCCTGCCCAGGGAGTCCTCTCCACTCCCCCTCCTCACCCTCCTGTCCCCTCCTGGGCCCTCCCTGTTCCCTGCAGCACACCTGATCTCCTAGGAGGTTCTGACACTGTCCCCTCGCAGCCACCTGCCTCCACCCGTCTGTCATCCTCATCCCACCCTCGCCACTTGCCTGAGCTGGTGCTGACCTCTCAGCCATGGGGAGGAAGGAGCTGGACTGTAAGCTCAGATCACTGGCCCACTTGGGCCAGGTGGTCTCTGCGTCATGGGCATCAAACACCTCGATTCCCCCACAAGAGGGGCTCCTCCCTGAGAGTGACCAGGAGCCTCGCGATGGCAGATGAGTTGGGCTGCCCAGGTTGTGACTAGGGCTCAGGGGCCCAGGTCCAAATCACAGAGCTGGGGTGAGACTTAAGTGCGGTCCAGGGGCTCAGCACCCTCTTCCCTGGAGGGCACTGGGTTCTCCTCCGTGCACACATACTGGTACCTGCTGTGAGAAGTGTCACATGGGGAAAGGAGAGAGGCGTGGGTAAGGGGCATTTCCCTGCTTGCCACCCTTGGGGCCTCCTTCAGTCCACATTTTACTCAGTCTCCCGGTGGCTATACAGGCCAGGGGTGAGGGCATGTGTGGACATCCACACACCGCGCTGGTTGTATCCTAACCAGGAAACTCAAAGCAGCCTTGCCCACCGCAGTGGGTTGAATGGTGGCCCTCAAAAGATGTGTCCTGGGGGGCTGAGTGGGGAGGATGGCTTGAGCCTAGGAGGTTGAGGCTGAGGCTGCACTGAACTGAGATTGTGCCACTACACTCCAGCCTGGGCAATACAGCAAGACTCTGTCTAAAAACAAACAAACAAACAACCAAAAGCCAAAAAAAAAGATAGGTCCACCCAGAACCTGAGAATAGGGGCTTCTTTAGATACAGAATCATTGCAGAAGTAATTAAGGATCTCAAGATAAGCTCATCGTGGATTTGGGGTGTGCCTTAAAGCTGAAGACTGGCACCTTTGGAAGAGACAGGAAGGGAGGAGATACAGGGGAAGGTCGCCGCTGGCAGCCAGTGGGACTGGAGTGCTCAGCCCTAAGTCAGAATCGCGGGCAGCCTCCAGGAGCTGGGAGAGGCATGAAGGGTTCTTCCCCAGAGCCTTCGAGCCTGGGAAGGAAGACAGGCTGTTGTCCAAGCCACCGGCGTCTGGGACTCTGTTCCAGCAGCTCCAGGAATCCCGCCGTCCACTGATAGCTCCGGGGTCTCCACGTGGAAGACCTGAAGTGTGACTCGGAGTGAGGGACATGCCTCATCTTGCCCACCTGTCTGCAAGGCAGTCTCACCTCTTGGGGTGGAGAGAATAGAAGTTACATACATACATTTATCTCCTGGGCTCCGGTGATCCTACCACCTCGGCCTCCTGAGTAGCTGGAACTACAGCTACACACCACCATGCCAGCTTAAGTTTTTATATTTTTAGTAGAGACAGGGTTTCATCATGTTGCCCAGGCTGGTCTTGAACTCCTAGGCAAAGGATATGTCCGCCTCAGCCTCCCAAAGTGCTGGGATTACAGGCATGAGCCACTGTGCCTGGCTTAACGATGTATTGTTTAAAGATACAACATATTTGGACACACACAAACATATAAAGAAAACCAGGAGGATGGTGGTTTGCACAGAATTGGAGATGATGGTTACTCCTGGGGGCAAGAGAAGAATCTACAATAGGCCGGGCGCAGTGGCTCATGCCTGTAATCCCAGCACTTTGGGAGGCCAAGGTGGGCAGACTGCCTGAGGTCAGCAGGTTGAGACCAGCCTGGCCAACATGGTGAAAACCCGTCTCTACTAAAAATACAAAAATTAGCTGGGCATGGTGGCGGGCGCCTGTAGTCCCAGTTACTCAGGAGGCTGAGCCAGGAGAATCGCTTGAACCTGGGAGGTGGAGGCTGCAGTGAGCTGAGCTCGCACCACTGCACTCCAGCCTGGGTGACAAGAGCGAGACTCTGTCTCAACAACAACAAAAAAAGAATCTGCAACAGGGGAAGGGCGTGTGGTTGACTCTGAAGAACAGCCCCCAACGACACCCCCATCCCCGTGCTCAGAGCTTGTGCATGTGTTGCTTTTATACATGGCAGCGGGGACTTTGCAGATGTGACTACCTTAAGGACCTTGAGATGGGGAGGTTAACCTGGATGATCCAGGCAGGATCACGAGGGTCCTCACAGGAAAGAGGGAAGGCGGTCGCTGAGAGAGAAGGCTGTAGTGTGACCACAGAGGTAGACTGAAGGGATGCAGCCGGAAGCCTGGGAATGCCGCTGCCTAGAGGCTCAGGAGGCCAGGGATTGACTCTCCCTGGAGATTCCAGAAGGAACCGGCCCTACAGACACCTTTATTTTAGCCTCTTCCTCCAGAACTGTAAGAGAATAAATGTGTGTTCCTTTAAGTCTCTAACTTTGTGTTACTTTGTGATAGTTTGTATTAGACTGCAGAATGGCCCTCAAAGATACCAGGTTGTCATCTCTGGAACCTTTCAATGTGTTATTCCTGGCTGGGCGCGGTGACTCACGCCTGTCATCCCAGCCCTTTGGGAGGTTGAGGTGGGTGGATCATGAGGTCAGGAGTTCAAGACCATCCTGGCCAACATGGCATGGCAAAACCTGTCTCTAACTAAAATACAAAAAAATAGACCCAGAAAGAATAGATGAACAAACAGCACTGTAATACACACACAGCAAATACTTAAGGAGGCGAGGACAAGAATTGCAAAAATTGAACCCGGAATGGCAGAAGATTGAAACAAGATGAAGACACAAATCGGAGACCAATATAAACAGACTCCAGACAACATACAAGGCGGGAAGAGACATATACCATCCAAAAAAATTAATAAAGTAACGAAGAAGGTATTCCCGCCGGCGGGCGCGGTGGCTCAAGCCTTAATCCAGCACTTGCGGAGGCCGAGACGGGCGGATCACGAGTCAGTGAGATCGAGACCATCCTGGCTAACACGTGGAAACCCCGTCTTCTACTAAAAAATACAAAAAACTAGCGGGGAGGTGGCGGGCGCTGTAGTCCCAGCTACTCGGGGAGGCTGAGGCAGGAGAATGGCGGGAACCGGGAGGCGGAGCTTGCAGTGAGCTGAGATCCGGCACTGCACTCAGCCTGGCAAGAACAGAGCGAGACT